AGAGAGAAAAAAGCCATTTTCGGACTTTACTTAAATCACTGTTAGTGTACTAAAAGTCTTTTGAGGTCTAGAAACGCCTTCATTGACATCTAAAAAGAGGGACTTTGGGTATACTATACAATAGACTACTATGCTCTCTGACATTACTGTCCTTTAAAAAGAGAGGGTCTCCAGTGACTATACATAATACACACATAAAGTAAATGGGAAAGGGAGAGAGAGAAAGAGAGAGAGAGAGAGAGATCTAAATTAAATTGTTTGCCACATAAGACCACTGTTGCCAATGATATGTTAAAGAGAGCGCCAAAACCTAATGCCCGAAAAGTACAGCAGATTTTTATTTTTGGGGCCAAATATCCATCAATACATTCAGATTTTCAATGGTTTTTAAAATTGTATGCAAACTCTTGTATGCAAACAAAGCATTACTTATGTGTAATGTATTAGACATTCAGTTTGAGAGAGAATTATTTAAGTGAAGAGAGATAAGACTGTATACTTGAAAGACATTAATATATTGTAAGAGAGAGATAGAGAGCCTATTATTAGGCGAAAAACGAAACATATATTTATGCAAATAATTATTGAATTCAAATAACAATAATAATAAAACTGTAGTTAAATACCAATATTTGGCACAAATTATTTGTATGTTAAGATAGGGGGCATTAAGAGCTAAGATAGACTATGTATTTAGCAGCTATTGGATAGTAAAATAGATCCATAAATATTATGACACGACTTATATACATATATATATACCGTAATACTCCATATATAATACATTGTAATTGTTATTTAATCTCATTATTATTGTCTATTTAATACATATCTAAATAATAGCTTTACTTATACTTATAATTCTTTCACACATCACTTATAATATATACGCTTTTTTCATCGTAAGGTTTATCTGGATATCAAACTAGACTTTAATATTCAGCTCATGTTTTGGTGTCAAAAAAAACATTTAAGAATAAGACACATAACATAGTAATAATAATAATAATAAATTTATATACAGTAAATACTAAATATATAAATAATATATCAATATATATGTATAAAATCAAACAACACTCTCTGAATAAAAGAGAAATATATGGCATATAATGTATATTAAAACTAATCAATATTATCACAAATAAAACATATATATTCAATCAAATGATTGAATATATATTATATTTATAACCTCCCCATACATGTGTCTGTTGTTTATATTTATATACATTTGTATATAATGTTTATAATGCAACTAAAAAAAGTCATTGCAAAAAAATAGTCATTTATTACAACAAACATACAAAACAAAGTATATATATATATATATATATATATATATATATAACAATACAAATGAAAATTCATACACAACAACAACAACAGCAAGAAATTGATGGCACTGTAAGACTATAACTGTGAGAAAACCTCAATACTATACATAGTATTATACTGTATATAAACTCTCTTAATAATGATAATGTCATAAATATAATAACATTAAAAGCTAAGTAAACAAAAAAACATTAGAGAAAAAAAAGTTTATTTTTTTCCTAAATATTTACAGTAATATTTCATTTATTAAATATGAGAAATATGTTAATAATTTTATTAAAAAAATACCGTGTATTTACACAATTTAGGTTTAAATCATTTATCAGTGTATAAATATATGTTATGTTAATTTAAAACATCAATTGTTATTCATATAATATTTTCTGTTTATTTCTAAAGCCTATTATGTAAATTCATGTTTATAGCAAATACAGTATATATGTCTATATCTGGCGTAATATAACAAATGGTCAATAATTGCATTTTATTTCAAATAAGGTCTCTTAGATTTATTCAATAAGGAAAAGCAAATAAAAATAGAGAAAAAAATTAGATAAAAAAAGTTTTTATTGACTCTGAGAGCCTTAAAAAAGTCTAAAATAATAATAATAATAATGTTATATAAAAAGTTGTGAACAAAAAAATACAGGTTCGGCCAAAAAAAAAATAAAAATTGATAGATAAACAGATCTCATATTATTAAAATTGTTTGGTCAACACTAAAACAGCACCAAAAGCATATATATATATATAACACTGTTTGTGATAACCATTACTACTCCTACTACTACTACTACTACTACTACTACTACTACTGTTTCACTATTTATAATCACACAAATATAATATAAAATTTATATCAATAATATGGACTCAGAAAAATAAAGTTGACTCCGGGTCTCTCTCTCTCTCTCTCAAAATTCAACTCTCATTTATATATATTATTAAGCTTTAACTATACTATAGTTTTATCTATTATTATATTAAATAGTAAATTAGTATTCCGTATGAGTTTGTGGTTGTTTCGACTAAAATTCAATAAAACTTTTCGTTATATATTTTCAATATATATATCTATATGAGTGTTATTTGCTATTATAGTCAGGATCCTAACCTAAAAGATCTCTTTAATATATTAACATTATATACCAGTCCAATACAGCACACATAAACTATAATAAGTTATAATAACAATTGCTGGCACTCGTATATAATGATTAAATACAACAACAAAATATATATAAGCTATATTATATTAAATAAAAATAAAACTAATAAACATTTAAAATGGACAAAACATTTGAACCACATTTGTGTTTTATTATTATTATTGTAAATATATTTTGTATTTTGTTGGTCACTCACACTATCAAACAATTTGCTATATATTTATATGTGTACTGAAAGTTAAAAAAAACAAAATAATAAAGTAAAATGAAAGCACAAAAACACATATTAATAATGCCTTATATATTCAAATTTAAGCCTAAATTTTTTACCATTAATTATAATCACTACAATATATATGCAATCATATATTTTTTTATTACTCCCTATGCTTAACATATTTAACATTTTGATTTCGCTATCATTTACAGACACTATTTTTAATTACATGAATACATATTAATTCAAATTTTATTAAAGATATAAATAAATATTAAATACTTTATGATATCATATTATACACATTAGTAAAAAAGATAATCAGAGAAATTTAATATAAAATAAGTAGAAAAAAAACAATATAAGAAAACAATTTTCACATATCATATATATATATATATAATGTATTAATATATACATGGAAAAATTAGATGATATATATAAAAATACAAATATAAGTTGTTATAAATAAACTTAATATACATATAATTAAATGATGGAAAAAATTAAATATTTTTCTCTTTTAATAAGCATATGTAATATCTATGTATAATCGTCGGTAACAACAATAAAATTAACATCAAAAATAACACACAAAAAAAATAAAACAACTAAACATATATTGAGAAACACGGGTTCATAAACTTATGTTTCAGATAATTAGGTTTAGATTTGTAAGTTAAACCCTTCACAAAAAAAACTTAACGCTATATTTAACTTAAGCTTTTAAATTTAGAGCCATTTTATTTATAACTACACTGTATTTTATTTTCTATAACATTTATATAACATTTAGTTAAATAAAATATATAAATAATTGTTAAGTAAGTTAAGGTTTGGTTAAAATTTTCAATATAAATAATAATAATATTAAAAATATCATATTATAAAATTATTAAAGTTAGAGCACTGTTACCACAATTAGATTGTTTTTTTGTTACTCTCTCTCTCTCTCTCTCTCTCTCTCTCTCTCTTATTGTTGTCTTTTTTATTTATTGTTATATATTCATAATATGATGGGAAACAACAAACAAACAAAACATATGATCTTATTGTTTAAGTGGTGGTCCTTTCATAAGTGCAATAATATATCTATCTTTAAAAAACAGTGTAAACTATATATATATATACTGTATTATATACTATTATACAGTATAAGCATTTGTTTTGTGTGAAAAATCTCAAATTGAAAATTGAGAGCAAAGATAATACACTATAATATTTATATATAACATTACAATCATTTATATATATAAGATATGGTCTAAAGACATGAGAGATATTTTATTATATAAACTACTATTATTTTTACAAACTTTAATCGTAATGATAGTGATAATACTCTGTTAGTATCATAGTATATGAGATATAAAAGAGGAGATAATTGTCAGATACTGTGTGGATGTGTATGTGTTATAATAAATTGTTGGCCAGAAAAACAACAACAAAAATCAGACACAACTCATGGCTTTTAAAAAAACTTAACTCTTAGATCTCAGTCATAGATAACTACTACTAATATTATTATTAGTAGTATTATAAAACATATAGTAAAAGGCAAAATTCAGTCAAATAGTAGACATTAGAGAGCGAAAAGTTTCGGACCCGTACCTGACCCGTACCTGATCTGATACCTAAAATCTCGGACTCGGACCTGACCTAACATAGGGTACAAATTTACCTGACCTGACCTGACCTGACTATGTAGGTCCGAAAATAATTTTATCAAAAAACAATTTTATTTATTCTATACCCGCAACAAATTTCTCTAAATTAACTTTAATTACTCGGGATTAACGATAACTGATAGTAGATCTAACTTAGATTCTAATAAAGTTAATATGTTATTATTTATTAGATCAAAACCATCATCTTTTGTAATATTTTATGTTTAATTTATACAAATATTTTATAAATAATAATTTAATAAATTTTGTGTTTGATTGTCATATTTTGTAATAATTGTCGTTTAAATAATGAATAAAAAATTTTCGGACCTGACCTGACCTGACCAAAAAATTTTGGTGTTCGGACCCGTACCTGACCTGACCTGAGCCCTAACTTTTACCTGACCTGACCTGACCTGAAAAATCAGGTCAGTTTTCAGTCTCTAGTAGACATACATACACACACACACACACACACACACACACACACACACACACACACACACACACACACACACTGTATACTTAAAATTATCTTAGAAATAGTAAGAGAGAGAAAATAGTGAAATATATTTTACTGATATACATATAATATGATTATTAACTCACGATTCGATGCAGACTTCCGTTTCAGTGGTATATCTCCTCAATTATAAATAACAAACAAACAATAGTTTTTATGCGTTTGATTTTTTTTTTTGAATAAAAACAATCAAAAAATAACTAACAAATAAAAAAATTGTTGTCTTAAATAGACATCACATATGCGAGAGATGTCTACTACTAAATAATAAATAAAATTTTAAGTTATTATGTCTTGTAGTTTAAGAGACAATCATCGATGCAATCATCGATTCATAGCTTGTTTAGCATAAAAAGTTTGTCTGTTTTTTGTCAAACAAACAATAAAATGTAGTTTTTTTTTAAAAAAAAAAGTTTTTGAATTCAAACTATTATTTAAATATATGGTTTAGTAATCACACAATCCTTAAGGTTAGCATTGATTAGCAATCAAAGCATTTATGAATTTTATATATAAATATTATTATTATTATTAGTTTAAAACTCATTCAATCAAAAGCTCTTTTTGATTGAATGAAAGGTAAAAAAGTTTTTTATACATAAAAACTTTATATTTAAAAATATTATTATTATTATTCACAATAACAAACAAAAATTGAATAAAAATTGAGTTCAAATATTATCTCTCAATAAGTTTGAAGCGTTAGATAAAATCGTAAACTAAGAAAAACTGAGTTTTTTAATATATATAAATTATTTACTAAATATTATAATAAATTTTTTTGTGTGCCCTTTTTTTAATTAAGTTTATAAAATATATATAACATAAAACTTTATATTTAATTTATTATTATTAAATGACATACACTACTAAAGCTATAGTATCATTAAAACTGTCTAAATATTTGCTAATAAATATATTTCATTATTATATGACACATAAGTTTTTTTTGTGTGTGAATATATTGATGAATAGTATAGAAGTTTATTAATATTATGATGATAATTATTATTATGATTTTATTATCAATTATTATTAATATTTATTATTATGATGGTTATTATAGTTAATTTAATTTAATAATATACATCAGACATATAATATTATTGTAATAAATATTATAAAAAATACATGAATGTGTATATAAATGTATATATTAATATTTTTTTGATACACAAATTGATAAATATCTAAGTGTTAACTAATTGTCACTTAGGGATTGGGACCCATAAAAATAAAATGTTAATTTATAATCTCTTTTTTATTTAAAAAAACGCACCGATGATTGGCATTAAAATAAAATATACATTTAGTGTTAATTTAATGAATTAAATTAAAACACATTTTTTGAATAATAACGATATATATATATATATTTTTAAAACTAAATATATTATCTATCGGTTTAAACACATATTCTTTATAAAGCGAAAAACTTGTTTGGCTTACAGTTTTCAGTCAAATTTCAAACACACATATAATAATTGTAAATGAAATGCAATGGTTTGAAAGCACACCAACCGTATGGTCTGTACGCTTGGGCTTCACTAACAAGACTGCCTGTAAAGCCAGTCACTGACTGCCAGTTCCCCTATAGCTGCCTATCCTCACACACACACACACACAGCCTCACCAACAGTGCTATCAAACCAACCTGTTCTCAAACATCAATAAACACAAATTACGTACTGATAGTTTTTTAAAAATGATCTAGATACATTTTTACATTAAAATTATTGCTAAATAATTAACTATAAATAAATAATTGGTTTAATTAATTATTACAAATCTTTTGTAATGATAGATTAAATTGTTGATATAGTGTATGTATATATTAATGCTAAAATTGACATTTTTTATTGTATACTAAAACTTATCTAATGTGTTGATAACGTTACGCAAAAATACAGACTATTTTTATAGAGACCACATTCCCCTTATAGACGATAGCTTATCTATCTATGATATACATTATATTGTATATACTGTACCTCAGAATTGCGTACAAATTTTAAATCAATACATATCCCAACACACATATAACTGGAGTAATATTATCAGTGAATATATACAGTTTAGTGAACTTTTTTTCTATGCAGTCCCTGTTGCTAATTGGATGCTGTGCTTAGCTCAGCACAGGTATTACACTGGTATCGTTAGGTGCTGGCTCTCCATACCATTACAATATGTATAGTTATAGATGTATACCCATTATATTAAAAGCATTGGGAAAAGATATAGCAAACAGTGGTTAGGAAGCGGAACGGATTGATTGTCTGAATCATCGAATAAATAGCCATAAGTATTGCATACAATCAGTACATATATTTTATTTATATATAAGTGGGGAACGGTAGGTGATAGTGATGGCCTTGAGCATTGATCATGCATAGTTGCATAAGACACACACATATATATATAAAGACAAACATAATTATCTAGCATATTATCATGCATATTACCTAAAACCTATTATACTACTACTACTACTGTGCCAATACAAATAACAATGTATTTATTCCGGGAAATGTAGTTTTTATTATTAGTAATCTTTATTTTATTGTTAACTTTATTTCAATTATTTGTTAAGATAATTAAATAAAGTAAATACTGCAGTAATTTCTTTTAATAACTTTTCACATGTAACTTATATTTTTTTATAAATAACAATAGAAAGATTAAATTTAATAATAGTAATGTAATTATTATTAGTATGAAAAACAATTTACATTTCATTATAATTTATTAATATATTTTAACTATATATAAAATTATTAAACATATTTAAATATCTGGGCTCTCATGGAAAGGTGGATATGGGATGGGATGGGAGAAAGAGCCAGTGATAAACCAGTGGTCGATTTATTGCGAGCATTAAAACCAAGATTTAAAAATAAAACATTTTTTTCTCATTTGATTTTTATTTGCGTAAACTGTTTGTTTGATATCTAAAAAATATGTTTGACTGTCATGCAAAACTTGAGTTTATGATATGATTTACTGTAAATAAACTGTTAATAAATTTCAATTTTATTTCAACCTTAAAGTACAGCAGTGGTTGCTCTCATAGATTAGTAAAAAGTAATTACTTTTGGACTCCAGCTCTCTCTCTCTCTTAACTCACATCACTCTCTCTCTTAACTCACATCACTCTCACTCTCTCTCTCTCTCTCTCTCTCTCTCTCTCTCTCTCTCTCTCTCTCTCTCTCTCTAAGGTAATGGTTGGCCAAAAAAATGTTGCAATCATAGCATGTTTCGTGTCTCTAATATAGAAATTTAAGTTGAAATTAATTCAAATTTATATTTCCTTTTTTTGCAATGTTGTTGTGCTCTTAAATATTATAACTAACGTATTATACAGTACTGTATATAAATAAATTTATAATATTATAAATGTGCGTTTGTCTCACACACACACACACAAACATTTAAGACAAAGAGGATGTTTGCGTTTAACTACATTTAATAACTATTTTTTATTATTATTTTAAAATAAAATAAAATTTATGCCGATTCACGACACTGTATGTGCTGGTATGTATTACTAGTTCATTACCAAATGTATATATATATATATATATACACCAAATATTATAATATTCATCATATCATACAATCATTTATTTAAATAAGTTCAACGAAGAAAAATCTCCATAATATACAGTATATTAAAATATATGAGAAATTATTACCCGATTGTCTGTTTTTAAGCAAATGTTTTTGTTTTTTGAAGCACTCATATGTTTGTTAGTCAAATGAATGAATGCATGCATTAGTTTAATTGGATTTTCCTCTCATTTTCTCCCTTTTCAACTCAACTCTCTCACCAAATCTATATGTCCTCTCAAGTATGGCATCAATAGATCATATATCCAGACATCCAACCCCTTACCCTCTCAGCACTTAACCATCACAGCACACAACAACTCCTATCTCTCATGAGTGTTGTTGAGCCCCTCTCATCATAACTCGGCAAAAACTACATGACTATATAATGTGCCATTCATTTAGTTTAACTAAAATAGCTATAGTTTTACATAAACTAGCAATAAATCCCTTTTACAAAAATATGCACACATGAAAATTATGTACTGTTTTGGGGTAATGAAAAAAAACTCATTTCAAATGCCTAAAACAGTTTCACTAATTGTCTATCTATGTGTGTGTGTGTGGGTCTCTCTATGGGAACCGGGAGGCAGAAATCAGGGACCAAACGATTAACAGATCAAAACACTAAGTCACTAGTTTGGAAGTCCCTAACTGTTTGTAAACCAGTGTTCGTGTCGATAAAGTAGGGCTGGATGTGACAGACAAACCAGGGATTCAAATAGACATTGCATTGCATTTGTGATATATGAGTGTATCCACTATATGTACTGTATGTATGTGTTATAACTTATAACTTATAAGCCATGACTTTGGAGTGTTTCAAGTGATCCGTGCAGTAGACTAGTGTTGAGACCGTAAAAAGACTTATTTCGCCAAAAAATTAACATTAACTTAGACTGTATTATAGTTAACAATAAATGCAATACTAGTAGTTGTATGTGTGTATAAAACCAAATGTGAAAAAATACATTAATTTTTGTTGAGAGAAAAACTTGTTGTGATATATATTTGGTGTAACAGTTTATGAATAGACAGAATGAAAGAGAGAGAGTGAAAGTTAACTAAAATAAGTATTAAAAAAAATTTATGGCATTTATTGAGAGCCACTCACTATATATATATGTTTTTCTCAATTTTTATATATACAGAGAATGTCATAGAAGTTATAGAGTTTCTGAATAAATAAAAGCAAAGAGAAGTCAATAAAAGAAACACTTTTCATGTCAACCATTATATCAATAGAGAGTCACAAATAAATAAGAGAGAAAAGAAAGACTGAATTAAGAAAATATAACATAAAAAGCAATAATAATAATAATAATACTATAGTAACATAAAATAACTGTATTTTGTATTATTATTTTTCATTTTATTTTATATTTCAACTAAATAATAAGTTATAGATTTAAATAATATAAGGCAAAGATATATTAATGCATATAACTGTCTATATGTATGACTGTCTATAAGTATGCATCATTACACTTAAATGGCATATTTCAATCTCTCTCTCTCTCTCTCTCTCTCTCTCTCTCTCTCTCTCTCTCTCTCTCTCTCTCTCTCTCTCTCTCTCTATTCAAT